CGGTCAGCTCGGTGTGTGCAGTATGCAAAATGCACTAAATACTCAGTTGGCTTGTTGCCAAAGCGTCGCTGGGAGATGATGTCGCCGACCTCCTGAAAACCATCCATAGAAGGTGGGTCTTGCGTACGTCTCTCGGAAAAATCATCATGATCCGCTGGTGTGTAGAGAGCCAGTTTGGAGCAATGAAAGATTGGGTAGACAGGCAAGTGGCTAGGCACCTGAATCGTGACGGAGGGTCCTTCGGGTGCGTCCCCAGCGGGCTCTATGATCGGCCAAGGCCCCATCCATTTCGGAAGGAGCTTGCGAGAGACGTCTTGTTCAAGGCTGAATTCCGCGGCGGAATCCCAGACGAGGTCCCCGGCGCGGAATGGACAAGGAAGACGCTGGCGATTGGCCTGCTGGCTCATGCGCTGTTGCGTCTTAGCCATCTGGTCGCGTGCCTTGACAAGAAGCTCTTGCATCCGACACAAGAAAAGAAGATGGTCGTTGCTCTCGGTCGTGCGTGGAGTAATAGTGTCCAACCGTGATGTGACCAGCGAGCCATGCTCGAACTCGAAGGGTGATATCCCAATAGCCGGGTGGATGGAAGAGTTGTAGGCCAACTCGACGTTCGGCAGTCGCTCAACCTTGTCTTTCTGGTCGGGGCGGATGAGAGTGCGAAGGAGAACATGTGCGGTCTGATGCGCCCTCTCCGTCTGGCCATCGGTCTGAGGGTGGCAAGCTGAACCGGGCTTGAGAGATGAGCCCCATCGCTCGATGAGCGCCAACCAGATGAGCGCCAACCAAAAATCGGACATGAACCGAGTGTCGCGGTCGCAGACGATCTCCTTGGGGTAACCCTTGGTGCGAATCCAACCGGCGTAAAGAACCTCGACCAACTCCGGTGCCTTGGCATGATAGCGACAAGGCAAAAACATGGCGAACTTGGTGAGTCGGTCGACCACCGTGAGAATCCCATCCACTCCGGTCTTGTGCTTGGGGAACGGGCTGGTGATGTCCATGGCAATCGCTTCCCTTCGCCTCAACGGGACTGGCAATGGTCGTAACTCGCCGTACGGGCGATGGTTGCGGGGTTTGCAGCGTCGGCAAACCTCGCATGACTCGCAATAGCGCGTGACGTCGTCGAGAAGGTCGGGCCACCAAAATCGCTGGCGAAGTCGGCCAATCGTGCGATTGACTCCAAAATGTCCGGCAGCGGGAGCATCGTGAAACTCGCCAAGAAGCCGGGTACGCAAGTGAGGGTCACTTGGTACGCAAAGAAGGTCCTTCCCCCGCGTGTGGACAAGCAAGTACCCCTCTTGGATCCGGTAGTGAGAAGGAGCTGGATTAGGAGAGGAGCAATTCGCGTACTTGTCGCGAAACTCGGGGTCGGCTTGGTAGCCGCGGATGAAGCTGTTCCGMAGRTCGTCGTCAATCTCGAAGGYCGAGTAGACTGCGGTACAATGATCCGGACGCCGTGAGAGAGCATCCGCAAAACGGTTCGACTTCCCGGGAATGTGATCGGGAAAGAAGTCGAACTGGTCGATGAAAGCCATCCATCGAGCGATGGTGCTGTTGACGGTGTCTTGGGTCTTGCAGAAGACCAACGGATTGTTGTTCGTTACCCATCGAAATTGGCTTCGACCAAGGAGGAAGTGCCGCCACCGCTTGAGCGAGTGGACGAAGGCGAGGAGCTCCTTCTTGCGTGCATCGTCAATGGAATGCACGAGGGGCACTTTCTTGCTGAAGTACTCGACCGGGTGCCAGTCCACACCA